CTAAGGGTGGTCCAGATTCTCTGTGCTAACCAGGTCATTTACTCTTTGCCTAGTTTCCCTTGTTTTGGTTCAGCATGCCTGCGATCCTGAAGGGCTGGATGGACAGAGTGTTGGTCCAAGGCTTTGCTTATGATTTGTCAAAGTCTTATGATGGCGGTTTGCTCCAGGTATGTTTTTGAGATTATTAAGCTGAAGGTTTGCACAGTGTTCTTCTGGGCATTGGTCTTTCTTTTGCTTTGTAGTTGTTTAAAGCTCTCACTCTGCTGTCTTGAAATAAATGCTTTGGTTACATGTTGAGTAACTTTCTGGCTTGTTCAGACTGTCTGGAGGGTAGTACAATAAGGAGAATGTTGTGGTTCCTTAAGGTTTAAACCATCTCCTACAGACCTTTACTTGGCCTACTGTATGGGATTTATCATTTGGCAGGACTATCAGAGTGTAATATACAGCTTGCAAACAGTTTAAATTGATCCCTTTCCTATAACTAAAAGTCTGTCATTATTCCCACCACCACAGGACTGCACATATCTGTCATGACTAACATACTAGAATAGGTGTCATAGTCCTGTTCTGAGATTAGATGTCTTAAAGGTTAAAATAGAACTGTAAAACTTTATCAGAAATCTGAAATACTCATATCAGAAATCTGAAATACTCAGTGTATGAGCCTCTGTCACAATTATCTACTTTGAACCTTTTTTCTCTGTAACTTCTAAATTAGGTAAGACCAGTCTCTCTCAATGGTGTTTCATAAATTTTTAGTTCTTCATAGCATGGAAAATTCTGGAATCCAGTGTCTGATGGATCTTATTTAGTAACAGCTGCAGCATCCAGAAACAATCAATATTAGTTTCACATTTATATTTGCTGCATGGTAATCTCTGCTAGTTCCGATCTTCTCAACAATTCCAAACATTTCAGTTTCTTTAAATTTCAGAAATGGCTGGCTCACTGACAAAATGGGTATAATCCCCAGTGATCACAGCTGCATACGCTGTGGCTCAAGGCACGTGGGATACTGCACTGGAAAATTGTTATTTCAATTACAGAAGAGAAAACTGAGATAAGAGAATCTGAGCACAAGCCTATGGCTAATGCCATAGTTAGAGAAGCAAAGAAACACGGTGGTTTAGGATGCCTGGGAAATAATTTGGTCTGTATTTATTGATTGGCAAGTGACAAGCAAGCCAAAGTTCGACAGGGGACTTAAGCATTCAATTTTTGCAGTCAGAAAGAACAGGAATAAAAATATTCCCAGTAACAGAGGGCTTTCCAGCCACAGTTTTCCAAATAATGCAGGAGGGAGAAAATGATCTGCCCTCCATCACACAAGGGTGTCAGACACGTGTCCTTTTCTTTTTAACCTGTCTCTTTCAAAAGTCTGGACACACAGTCAACTGTCTAGTTGTATATCTTTACATCAGAACCACCAATCCTTGTAAGGTCTGGGAAAGAATATGACACTCCCTCTTCTAGAAATTTATGCTCTTCAGGTTCCCCTGAATATCTCTTGAACTGTTCAGCCACTCTTCTTTAAACGTGTCTAACTCAAGCATCACTTTCTTAATTCTAGGACAAATTATCCCTGTTTTCTTTCACCACTGGAGGAACCAAAGAGAAGTTTGCAAGCAGAGGTGATGTTCGCTATCTCCTGTGGCCCATGCAGGTATAATGTATGAATATATGTGGTTACTGTTTGCTTTCATTTTTACTATGCAAGTTATTTTTAACAGTTGTTTTAATGTTTATTTTATAGGAAGAATAATAAGAAACTGATAAGTTGCCTGCTCCAAGGATCTGCAGGTTATAAACTGGGCTCTAAAATCCTCAGACTACCGTGAAAGTCCAGAGAGGTTTAAAGTTGTTTTGTGCCCCTTCCTCCAGCTTATGCTGTCAGCCTTCTCAGTTTCTCTGTTATTACAGGATTTCCTTTATCTCTAGGATGCGGGATGTTTACCCAATGTAGGATGCAGGGCAGGAGGGGAATCACACATGATCTCCTACCCATTGTAATTACCAGATACCTGCCCCTGAGGAGCTGTCCAGCTCCAGGGCTCGCAAATAAAGGAGACAAAAATGTAAAGCACGACACTGAATTCAGAAATACACAGAGGGAAAATGGCAAGTGGAGTTGATTCCACAGGCACTAGTCTTCTTTCAGAGGGGAAAGGTTGAAAAAAAAATCCCCAAACCCAATTTGGAAGTAGATGTGAAAGGCACTGCAGTACAGGAACAATCTGAGGAAGTTCGAACAGGACAATGAACTTTAGACCATCTCTGATCCTTGCAAAGTTAACAGAGTACAGCAGCCAAAGAGGAGAGTTCTACTGGTGTGAAAGCAATTTATTTCCCTTCTCTGATAAATGCACAGATTTAGAGAACCTGCCTGATCCTGGGTCAGAGAAACAGGTTCAGATTTGAATCATGCATGTTCTTCAGTTGAAAGAGTAACTATTTCCTGAAGCATTTCCTTCTTTGTTTTGCATCCAGCATGGAATCATGCACTTCTGTGGTGTCAAAGTCCTTGAACCTCACATCTGTTATGCTCCAAAGCATGCCTCTGAGGAGAAGAGGAAGGAGATGCTGACTGCCTGGACCCAGCGTCTGAAGACTCTTTGGAAGGAAGAACCCATAAACTGCTCTCCTGAGTGGTATTTCAAGTAGTGCTCAGGTACACGACTACAGAAAGAAGATCATTTTTCTCCATTCTTTTGGATGCTCTATCTAAATACCTGAATGCTAATCTCCTAATTCAAATGTATTTTAACAATCTGGAATAGAGCAACTAGCATCTTATCTGAAAATACAGCATTTATCTTCATTGGTTTCTGAGGGATTCTCATTAAGGATGGGTGCAAAACTCTTTGTGAAGCTCTCCTTGCTCACATAAACTGTGCTATTATCCAGCCTCACTGTGATTGATCACACAAGTGGTATTTAACGGGAGATGATACCATTGCTGATTGTAAAACAATAAAGTACATGACCAAGGTAATTTTAACACTGTTTGTACCAGCTGCCCCTCTTTTTATTGTCCAGGGAATACGCTGCCCATACTCACACTTGTTGTTTCAAAGAGCAGGAGTGGCCATGAGGGCTCTACCTTGCGCCTTTGGGCTATGAAGCCAGATCATGAGCAGTGCAAAAGGATGTAGAGTTGCACAGTGACTTTGACAGCTGGAAAGCCTTGTGGGCAGCCTTAGGCTTTTCCACATATTCACAAAGCAATGTTAAAGCTACAAGAGATACCAGAGAAGGGAAAAAACAAATACTGTATAATGGTATGTGCATGAGTCGCCTTCCTTTGTAGACTGCACCTCCCATTTGTAAACTCAGTAGCTTCCTAAAACCAAAGGGACCTCTCTGTTTTGGTTGCCCTCAGTGGAGACAAAAAGGAATGCTGTGTGCTTCCTGCCCCTTCACACCAGTCAGGGTTGGTGTTTGGGTCTGGAGGGCATTTGCCTCCCCTCCACCATCAGAGTCAATGGGCTTCCTTGGAGATCTCCAGCACTGGCAGCTGGT